CCTGGCTCCTTGCTGTTACCTTCTCAGCTCTTCTACCCTGTGGCACAATCCTGCGTCCTCCTGGCCCATGCCGAGCTGTGGCTTGCCCTGCTGTGTGGGGCTGTTTCCCAGCCTCAGCTCCCCTGGCTCCTGCTTTCTGCTACCTGCTGAGCACCAGCAGAGATTTTTAGCTCATGTTGTTCTCCGTGCCTCACCTTGGATGCTGGTGAGCCTCTGCAGGAGGCACACTGCCTGCCTCCCTGGAGCTGGAGCCTTGGAGGCCTGCGCAGGAGCTGGAGGCCTGCGCGCCCCATTGCCAGAGGAAGGCACAGAGGTTGCTCCAGGCTGCTTGTCCCATCTTGGTGGGTAACCACATGAACTGAAGCATCTCTGTGCATCATAAAGCTTGTTCAATCCATGTTTGCTTCCAAAGACCCACCATGAACGATCAGAAGGTGCTGAGCAAGGAAACTGTTAGATAAAAGTAGAGGGGAGTGAGTTGGTGCAATGCCTGCTGGTGTAACTCCATGCCTGTAAGAAGACTCCAGTGAATTTCCTTCAGTTCTTATCAGCTGAGTATCTGGCTCCCCACCCCCAACTCTGAGCACTGAGATGTCTAAAGATGGATCTTTAAGCCTACTTATGCACAGATATTCAGATCCTGAGCTACAGCCAAAGGTGTGGGCTGAGGGAGAAACTAAAAAAAAGTCTTTAAGCTACCTTTGAAGTTCTCCTGTACCTGTATTATTTTGTTTGCTCTGATAAAAAAAAAATAAATAAAATAATAACTTGCAGAATAGCTCAATATGAACTAGTTAGCATTTACTCCAGGGTCTCTACTACCCACTGAAGCCAAAGAAAGCCCCAGACACCTTTTATGGCTATTTTCTTCCTTCCCGTCCTCCTCAGACTTTCCTGTAGGTGAGAGGAACGTTAAAATGACATGCTTGGTTCTGAGAGGGCTTTGCACTCAGCAACAGCACAATTGAGGGTAGCATGAGAATTTGTATTTACTCAAATAGATGACAGGACGATTTCTGTGAAATTTTCCAGTCCCTTTCAGATTGATCCTCTTTCACAGTACATATATGACACAATCCAACACTGTGTTCCTTTGTCTTGAGCCACTGTGGTCTGCCTTTCTTGTTCTTCGTCTTTTGTCTTTGTGTTTGTTTTTATTTTGTTTTGTTTTCTGGTCAACTATTTTGTTCAAATTGAGTATTCAGAACAGTTGATGCCACCCTGAAAGCTCACTGGTAATAGAAGGATGTTCTTACATGTTTTCTTATTTTTTGCTCTTACCACTCATCGGTTTGAGTTGATATTCATGCTCTGAATTAACAGAAGTCAGTTGCAGCACCCATATTTCATCATAACTGTACATATGGCTCAGCTCTCACAAACAACAGGGATGAGTTTTTATTTAGTAACTAAAAGGGGGTATTTCACTGAGACTCGCAAGCAGACCGTTCAACCCAGAGCTCCCAGCCTTTCAGTGGTATGGATTGGTTTTGGTGTATGGTCCTGTAACTACAGTCTTGTGGTGTCCAGACTCAGGCTCATTCCTTTGTCCCTCCTGTATGTGGCTGTAAGGGCATGAAGAGAGTGGAAAAGACACAGAGCTGGTCAGAAACTAGTTATATCCCTGTGCATGCCTTAATGGTAGGGAAGGATGCTGACAGAGGAGAGCAGGCAAGCATCCTGGATGACATCCATGCTCACAACCTAGACTAACCCCAGCCCACAAGGCTCACCTCACTGCTGTGACACAGCACAGAAGGAACGAGGGGTGAACTTAGCAGCAGCACCAGAGCAGCCAACTCCAGTGTTTGACTGGTTGGGAAAGCAGCCATGCCAGTGCTCAGAGCCTCTCCTACAACCTCATGATGACCTGTTCAGCTTGGCCTTTCTCCTTATATTGCTTTCAGTTCTGGAAGGCCCACCCCTGTGCCTTCCTCTCCCCGGCCTTGTGGAGCCATCCCACCTCTCCCAGCCGTGCTCTCGCTGTCACTCTTCCTGCAAGGTTTTCAGAAGAGCACGTGAATCCCATTATCCCTCGCTTTGTCAGGAGGAGTTGGAGTACAGAGGTCAACAGACTGGAATCGCTTTCTGCCCAGACTGGTTCACCTGGATATGCCTGGCAGCTCCGCTGTGCCACTGGATCCCTGCCAGCTCCTGGGAGCTGGGAGAGGGGCAAGGTGAGAGGGAAAAGCAGCAGAAAGAAGCAGCAGCAAGACTTGCTCTGGAAAAAAGGGGAAAAACTGCTGCAGGCAAGCTGGCTGCTGTGGTTTCTGCTCCTGTCACAAGGAGCAGGGCAATGCACAGCTGGCGGGCAGCCTGCCTGTACTCTGCAGTGCAGTTTTAAGGCCCTGGGAGTCCCATAAGGAGGGAGAGGTGGTGTAGGGGGATGAGGGGACCAGAGCTGGTTGGCAGCAGAAGGGCTCTGATAATGAAGGACTTCAGAGCCTGGCAGCACCCACTGCAGAAGCAGCACTGGGTGGCTGCTAACACTCCTCATGCTGTTCTTTCCAGTTCATCCTTCTGCTGTTGTGCTCGCTGCCCATCACCTGTTACTTGTTCTTTTTCACAAAAACGTGTTCTTTTTGGGATGATCAGCAGGAAGGCCTCCTTCCCCCTCCCCACCCTCACATGCTCTCACCTGGCACTTGTGGCTTCTCTCTCAGCGAGGTCTGGGCTCAGCCCATCCCTAAAGCCCTTATTTTCAAAAGTCATATTTATGACCACATCTAAATTAGATACAGATTGCTTAATTTGCATAGGTGCCAGACACAGAGGTGCACAAAACTTGGCAAGTCGGCCCAGACGTGAGGGGGATGTTGCAAGTGGGAGTGGATGGGACCCATGTTTGTCTACCCGTAGGAATTGCTGTTGGCAGGGCAAAACGGGGTTACTGCAACCCCAAAACCTTGCAGGGACAGCCACAGATCAAAGCTGTGAAAGGGCTTTTAAAGCTATTCTGCTTGCTGCATGCACTGCATCAGTGCTCTCTTGTGCTTTGCTTTAAGCAAAATTTTCTCAGTGGTCACATCATTATGCATGTGAACAAGTTGCCTGAATGAAGATTCTGGGAAAGCTGCGTGGGACATCACAGTTGGACTCGGCCAGATATAGCAGCAACAGCGTTGTGTCGCCCACCTCTCATCTCCTCCACCTCCCTGCTGGACTGAGGTCTCTGCCTCCGCGCCAGTGGTGGCCAGAGCGGAGGCTTGGTGTCTCCTGGTCCCCAGGCCAGACTCCATGGTGGAGCCACCCTTAACCTCACCTCATCTCATCTCATCTCATCTCATCTCATCTCATCTCATCTCATCTCATCTCATCTCATCCTCATCCTCATCCTCATCCTCATCCTCATCCTCATCTTCATCTGTTCCTGGTGCCCCTGCTGATGGGACTGGTGGCACTGGAAGACAGCAGCATAGCATTAAAATGTTAAAGATTGCTGCTATTTAACCCAACAGATACCATGTGTCAGAGACCTTAAAATGCTTTCAGCCCCCAGTGAAGGCTTCCATTTAGAAATCAAGTGGCCTTAGTTTGATGCTATTCAGTAGGGTCTGCTTATAATGAACCAAAAACTCTGGCAAATGCCCTCAGCTTGGCAGTTTAATGCACCAACCCAGCCACCTTGCTGTGGTGAGCACACCTCCTATCTTCCAGTTCACAGCACAGTGCTTTATCATAAGCCAGTAATGAAAGCAGGCCTGTGTTATGACAGTTAGGTGTAAATGATGAGGATGTCCCTCACCAATGTGTGCTACGTGGCAAAAGAGACAGTAAACTTCTATGACTGAGGTATCTTAGTCCTTTTTCAGCAAAGTGACATTCAGAACGGGGGTGCTGTCAGAGCTCTGGAGGCACTTTGCTCCTGAATTAGAGCCTTTACGTAGGCTTTAAGATGTCTTGAACTGTTCATGTTGTCTTCACGCCTTCAGCTGATTCATTTTAAGTTTTTTAAGTGGTGGCATGACAGAATTTTGCCAAAAAGCCAATGGAAATTTTGCCTGTAAGCCCAGGACAACTCTGAGAAATTATTGTGAAGGCACCTGTTGATGACGAAGTTACTTACATCCTCTTTGTTTTCATCACTTCTCTTTGTTAAGCAGAGGGCACATCGGAAATTTTGCTGTCTGAGGATGACAGCAGACTGGGGATGTGGTTATTTGCCTCCACTTAGCCTCCACACTCTCAGCACTCCCTCTCAGCAGCTGAGTGGGATGGCTAGAAAATAGGGAGGATGTGGTTTCTGAATTCTGAATCATGACAGTTTTCCCCCAATACTCTTATCTGTAGTAATTAAAAAATTCCAGACTAGTAATTAGACTATAGCTGGTCTCAGGCTCTGTGGGCCTTGACACTAGCTTCTTAAATTTCAGGACTACCCAGAGTAATCAAATTAAGTTTTTTTTTTTTAATTAACAGTTACAATAAACTGATACTAAATTGAGGGCTAAGCTGAGTAACAGCCTTTTAAAAGTCATTCTGTTACTTTCATTCATCTTCTCATTTCTTCCCCGAGGAGCTGCAAGTACCACACTAATTCTTTTTGTAAAATCTTGCAGCAGTCAGATACAGGCTTCACACTAGAAAGAGGTTTTGTGAGTGAAGATATCCCAGCAACTCGACCTGGGCTGTTCCAACCTGCCTTAGCAAGGGGGATGCATTTGATGGCCTTCAGAGAGCCTTTCCAGCCCAGTCATTGTAATATCTATGAGAACATGATGATCAAAAAGTGATGGGTGGCTCTTGCTTCCAAGGATTTATTTTCCAATGTGTGTAGTAAAACAAGCAAATAAACACACACACAAACAAACAAAACAACAGCAAAAAACAAATAGTTCAAACAAAAAAATCCTTGGGAGCCTTAGGAGGCTTCCAGACCATCAGTCTATAAGAATATGTGAGCTCTGTTTTAGACAGCAGGAATATGATTAATATTTCTTCTGAGATCAGACTGGAGCGCATGGAAGGGAACTCATTGGTCATAGTTTGTTGGCTTTTACCTGAGTCCTACCTGTCCAGGGGTTGCAGCTGGTACAGAGTGTAGTTGGGTCTCTTCTGTCCTATGCCCTGGTCCTCGGGTGAATAACCCAGTGAGCAATGAGCGCCTGGTCCTGTGGGCCCTGCGAGCTTCCTCTCAGGGATCTCTCAGCAGACTTGAGCTCTGTCTGGTGGTAGGATTATCTTGGTTCCTGATCAAGGCTAAACAATGATGCATTGTAACCCACAGATATTTCCTATGAGAAATTGTGCTTGCAGCCTGAGGTTCTGCTGTGCTAAGCACTAAATCCAGCAGCATGTACAGATCAGATATTGCACTAATAGCTAATCCTGTGTGTAGCTGGACACCAAGCTTAAATTCATTCATACACGTAAGCTTCACTTAATTTAATGATGACCCCGTCCCATGTTTTCTCACATTCAAGATCAGCTGACGTGTCTGAACTGGTAGTTACTGCAATATTAATCATTTTCCTGGCCACTGCTCAGCTTGTCCCTGAAATTCATTTTCAGGCTTTAGAGCACTTTTACCCTGAAAGCTGAGCAAAACTAAAATGCAACCACCTCAAATCCTGTCACAACAAATCTTTAACTGCCTACATCTCATGAAAAAATCTGACAGATGCCTTATTTAGAAGTGCTTTGGTTTAGGTATGTCAATCTATTTTGTTCCCTTAATACTTTTTTCTGTGAAGACAGGGTTGTGGTTTAGGATTTAATCTTCTGTGTATTCCTGACTTCAGTCATAATCTCTGTCCACATCACAGTTAGCTGGGACATCATCTCCACAGTATACAATAGATTTAAAGGTGATCTTTGTATCTTGCCGTTCTCTGTAATGGCCTAAAAACTAAGCAGAAAAGTAGTAAAAAGAGCCTGCCTCTATTTTGCTTGTGTGCTGTACTCAAAGTTTTCTCATCCTTTTTAAATTACTCTTAGTTTGAATCACTTTTGTGGTATCGATTCTAGGAATACAGTTATGTTTTGTGCAATACATTTAATAGCAAATAGGATCTGGGTGCACGTATTTATAAAAAATAGAATGATTCTTTTACACCATCTGTATAACATTAGAAATTCACTCAAGAGGTATGGGTTACAAAATTGCACCCCCTTTTCAATTCTCTGTTCTCCCCAGAAAAGATGATGGTGACCCTGCAGTTGTCTCCTCCAGTGCAGGACAGCACACGGATGTGAAACAGTGGGCAGAAACAACCCGTGACTTTCCATGAGTGGTTGGAAAGCTGACTAAAGAAACCAATGAAAGATGCACTCTGACAACGCACAGAGGAAACAGCTAGCAGCTCGTACTGAAAGTTATATATTCACTACCAGAAAGGGGATTTAAATTCAATGTCAGCAACCTGTCATCTGCCCCAGATGAACCGGTGGAGGCCATTTTAACGCTGGCTTTAAGGAGGTTGTAACCAAGCTACTAAAAAACAAAGGAACCCCAAATAAGCAGAACCACCCCTACCCTGTGGAGTTAACTTATTGCCGCAGGCCCCATGATGCACAGGAGCTGTGGCAGCGCTCAGCAGCGGCCTCTGGGCCACCCCCCGGCCCCGGCCTGCAAAGGCAGCCACCACAGGGCAGAGGCCTGTGCCGGGGCTCCCCACGGCTTGGCCGGGCACCACCTTCATGAACCCTTCCAGAGATATCCGTTTGTGCTTGGGGGTTCACCTCCGTGCCATTTTAGGGCATCGTTTTCCCTGCAGATCAGTTCAGAAAGAGGTGGCCAGATGGATACAAGGCACGGTAACTGAGCACATTCAGCCTCGTGGAGCTACATCTGCTCTAACAGGGGGTGAAGCACTTTCATTGATGCTTGTAAGTCAAAAACATTACAAAAATGTTTAAAGTATCCCTGAGTGCTAACTGATGACTAAGCTTCATTCCAACAGCTGGTTGGAATAGTGTTAATAGTATTAGCGTCGGTACTGAATTATTCAGGTTATTCTAAGGAATGTTCTAAAGAATAATCTGCATTAGATTTAAATATATTTTAAAATAAATAGAAAAATATATTTTAAATATTATATTTAAAAATATTTTCACACATTCTTCAATTTATTTTAATTGTATTTTATTTTGTCTTCAACTCTGTTGTCAATGTGTGGCTCCTTTACAATAACGAAAATTAAACCTTTCAAAATACTTCTATCCAAAGTGATTTCTTAGAAATCTTAGCCTGCATAAACCACTTCAGCCCGCCCAGTATTACAGGTGGGGGCTGATCTGCCCAGCCAGGGTCAGGAGGCCGATTTAGACCATTGCACTTGAGGTCTTGGTTAGCACTTTTTGCCACCAAGAAATGCTCTAAGAATTAAAGCATGACAGAAAACTCCCTCAAATCACATTTTTAAAAGCATTCTCGAAGAGTGACTATCTTAGTAGGCATTATTGTCACCAGAAAGCCTCTGTTAATCTCACAAAGCATCTGCAATGAATAATCTTCCCCTCCCCCGTTCTTATTTGCTGCCAGAAACAGCTTATAAATGCTTACTTGAAATCTCTGCCAAAATTTTCTTTTAGGCACACTGATGTAAATAGAGAATATTTCCACTGATTTTGGTAGAATTTCTCCAGATTTACATGGGTGTGAATGAAACCTGAATTTCTCCTGGGTCTTTTTCTTCAGCTGCCACTCGCTGCCTGGGTGAGCAGCGGCGCTGCCGCCTCTGCTGTCAGTGGAAGGCAAGTGCTCGAGCCCTGCTTGTCTGTCGCTTGACAAATTATTATAAACAGATTTGAACAAATATTTCTTTACAAAACGAACTGGTCAGCAGGCTCCAGGCTCTATTCTCCTGATGCATTTTACAGGAAATAATATCAAGTTAGCTATTATGAAACTACCCCCTCCTCACACACACATAATTGCTTCCAGCTTGCTGATTATTACCCTTTCCTTAACTGATAGAGTGAGAAGAGAAATAAAAATATCTCCATACAGTGGGCCAAATCCTCATCTGGTATAAATCGACATAGCTCCATCAAAGTCAATAAAACCATGTTGATTTACACCAGTTGAGGAGCTGATGCACTATAATTTTTTACTTGCTTTTAAAAATAAAACCTTATGTGATTGTGTAACCAACATTGCAACAGAAACCAGCATTTTCTTTTGTGAAGTCAAACATGTGCCCTCCCTTTGACTTTCAAACATTTTCACTTAGATAGACCTTCTACAGCTTTTTTTTTTTTTTCTTTTTCCCCTCACCTTCTGGCACAATGCTCCTATGGCCCTTTTACTGGACCAGCATCATGACAGAGGTACAAATTGTGCTGAATGAGAATCAGACCCAAAATAATATTTTCACAGAGTAATGAGGATAAGGAATGACATTCTGCCACTATTCTTTCATACAAAAGAGAGAAAAGAGCTAAGCAAAACAAAAGATAATACAGTTATTTCTCTACCAGCTTTCTCTCTAGTCCCCACAATACTTTCCAGTTAGCTAACATATATTAGCAGTACTGAGCAATTAGTAATTCCCATCCGGGAATCACAGTATTGTAAACTGCTATTATAGATTAAGTTCTTTAAGTCATCTTTAAAACAATACAACAAGACTTGTTATTTATTACGAGGTTTATTATCCGATAGAAACTATGTGCTCTGCCTGGACAAAGTGAAATTTCAAAAGTCTTTCTTCAGTCTTCACTAAGGGCTGTCAAACACATGGTGGATCTTTTGGGAACACTCTTTGTCTCTTGTTCTGATCAAGACTATAAAGAGATGTTCTATGGCAAATCTTTTACATCAATTGCAGGGATTCTATGCATTTCCATGTCATCTTTCCCAAATCCCTCAATTTTTTGATTTGATTTGACTGCTTTGATTGGTTGTTTTGATTGATTTGTATATTCAGAAATTCACTATAATTTTGATAGCATCCTGAAAAATCCAAACATATTTATTGTTAATGTTGACACAGTTTTCTGTTGGTTCAGCAAAGGCTTTTAATGTTAAGAAAACTTTTATTTATTAATCCTTGTTAATTAGCAGCAGCTAATAGCATGCTGGTAGTTCTATTAAAGTTAATGGTAATGTTTCTTTGTAGGATCATAGGCTGTAATTTTCAACAGCTTTCCTGAGTACTGTAACAGATTAAGGTGTAATAAAAAAAAAATTGCAAAAGCATACATTTCCAAATGATTTCATGCAAAATCTGGGCAAGATTAAGCTCACTTTAAAATACACATTTCATTGCTTTGAATAACATCTTGAAAATCATTCAATGATGTCTGGCATTCAGTTGCAAAGGTTGAATTAGAATTTAGTTGCATGCTCTGGTCCCTTTTTTAATACACAAATTTTAATTCACAGGTCAGTCTGAGGTGCATTCAGATTGGCTGTAAAGCTTCCTGTAGAAAGACCTGAAAATTTCCTTATGGAAGGTACCACTGCACTATTAGTTTGATTTGGAAAAGATGTCACAGATTGCTTATCTCTATTAACCTGCGAAACCTGTGCTTTTGGGGTCCCACTTTTACTGTAACCTTTATCTTGTAATGAGGATTTGCCACCTGGTTCAATGAATGACTGAGATGTTGACGCAGAGAAATCCAATTCAGATCCTTCATTAGCCGTCTGTTTCCATGGTGAGATATGACTTGAAAACACAATCTAGTCCCTGGAGAAAACAGTGGTTCCCCAAGCACCCTATAAGCACATATTTATAGGCAGGCACTCTCCAGATCTGCGCAGAGGAAATTAAAATAAAACACGCACAAACTGGCAAACACTTCCCAGTCAGTCGGGACTGAAAGAGTGGCCCTGTCTGTAAAGGAAGACAATGGCAGATCTTGCCAAATAGCTCTGTCACACGTAGGGTAGGACAGCCTTGCATAACTTGGGCAAGAAGTATCAAGTCCTGCTGGGGACAAACAAAAGTTATTTGAAATGTTAGGTCCTGTCCTCCCTGGTACTGATGGGAACTAACAAGACTTTCCAAATTGAAGCCGCACGAGAAGACAAGGAATCAAGCAGAGTTTTACTTCCCTAGAAAGTGCAGTCATTTACAGGGCAGCAGTTGAGGCTTGCTGACTCTCAGGAGGAGCTCTCTGGGTCTGCGGGAGGCTTGCTTTCAAGCTGCCAGTTTAATAACCCAGAGCAGTCAACAGGCAGCCCTCTACAAAGCTGACCCCGTTTCCTACATGACAGCAACAACAACAGTCATATGGCAGTGTCCACACTTGTGAGGCTTGAGCTTTTCCTGGAAAAGTCACAAATTGCTCTTTGAGGAAGTCATGTCAGCCACTAGCAAGATGGATGATTTTGATGCCGAGTCCCCACAAACCATTTGCTACCGGGCTGGAGACTGGAGACCCGGACAGTGTGGTGCCCCGTTTTGGGGAACTTGGCTTCAGCTTTAACTGCTGAAAGCTTATTGAAGCAGGGTATTTCCAATTAAATGCTTCAAGCTCAATGCTCATTTCATCAGAAAAAGCAAATCTAACCTGTTCCAACCCAAGGTTCCTTCTTCCAAACATAAATAATACATGGAATAGACACAGAAGATTTGGGTATTTGGGTAATGTCTCAGACATGTCTCCCTTTTTATCTATAGCAAAACTTTTATTTTATTCCAAAGCATGGCAACAAAGATTGAAAAAAAAAAAAAGCATGTTTAAGGCATTGTCTTGCCTTAAACATGATGAAGCTCTGTGGCATCGTGGCATCTTTAGACTGGATTCTTGGCTTTGTAGACTAGAGAAACCTGAAAGTGTACTGAATATGAAGTCAAAACAGCTTGTTACCCAACTTGCTTTCTTCCACAGAGTACTGAAATATTAAGAACACAGGCAAATAATGCTTAGATACAAATCCCTTTGTTTGTGTGGGGTTGCATTTGTGTGTCTGAAGCCAAGCTGGGCGGTAGTTTTGCATTCTGTATCTTCGCGGTGAATTGTGCGGTTCTGAAATTTGAATAAGATAAGATCACAAACAAGTAAAAACATGTGTAGGCTGAAAAATCAATATGTTTCAAAATAACCGTTGAGAAACAAATTATTCCTGTATTAATGGAGTGAAAACTATGTCTAGGGATTCTGCTATTGCTGATACTGCTACTAATATCTGAAGCAGTATTATTAAGAATCGGAGCTGCCTTCATAGTTAAGATGTTAATCATGCCATCACCTAGAAATAAAGCGCTCAAAAGGCTGACAATAGTAAACTGCAATATCAGGGATTTTTTGATCTTCCCATTTTCTGCATAATAATTAGATCTTAAGAACTACAGTTCTTTTAAATCGCCCATGCTGAGGTCTGCTCTTTCCGTTTACTCTGACATTTTCTAATGTTTTAGCTGAATTATTCAGAATAGCTACTCCCTTGTTATGATGTTCCTATTTTTCAGTTCAGGACTCAACGTCATTGTCACTGAAAGATGGCAGAATTCCTGCTAACTTAATCACATTCAGACCTATACCATGCCTAACATCAGAAAGCCATTAATAACCAGCTTATACCAACCAAAGTCTGCTTTGTCTGTGATGACACATCTTAAAAATAGTTTCCTCTGAATGAAATCTACATTTCTGTACTGAATTATTACTTGCTGGGAGTCACTCTTTCAGTAACCCTTACACTTTGCTCAAACAAAACACTCATTGCCCTTGAGAAACACCTGAATAAGCCTTAGCTAATTTGATACAATTCAGAATAATTAAAGACAATAACTGAAAACTGTAGGCTACCAGCAACGTAAAGATTTCTTTTGCCACCAGAATCTTCTTTCAGCCCGTACTTCACTTCGGGCATTTAGGAATGCTACGGGATCTGAACACTCGACTTTGCAGAAATAATCCTAAGAATCCACAGTCTCTGTGTCTGGTATATAATTCACTGGGACAGAATTAAACATTTCCTGTTTATATTTCTTGCTATATGCTGAAGTCTACTGAGTGCTGACTTTGTCTACAAGCAAGCCACGGATGTACTAAACATCTGGGTATTAATAACACAGAATTCCCCAAATTCTCATCACCTCAGCAGATGATCGATTTTTTAAGAAGATACATAGGAAATAACTGTCTCATCCTCTCTACAGGTATGCCTTTGGTCAACAGCATTCTTTAGAGAAATGCTGTGTTGACAGGGAAAGGGACAGACTGCTGGGTTCTGAGGCTGTGGGAGGATTGTGGTCGTTATGACCGGGCAGCTAGGATTAGAGCAAAAAACCACTGTGGGTGTTAATTCTGGCCTTCAATACGGCCAGAGCGACTCAAGGAGCTTGTCAAGGCACACCATGTGGACACTTATCTTTCAATTATGCATTTTAGATAATACTTTTAAACACACTTGGCTTGCTTTTATCGATGCTTTCCAGTCAGAAAGTATAGTTCCACATAAAAATGGAGTTCCACTTTTATGTGGAACAAACAAACAAAACGGAAAAAAAAAAAAAAACAGAAATCAGCAGAAGCTTCCCAGTGGGAATCATACCAACAGTGCTTAAGATGGAATTTGGACTATAGGAACTACAAGCATGTCAGAAGCTCCCAATCCAGCTTCTTTGGTTTTGATGACAAGGGCGAGAAGTGCTGATTAAGGCAGCTCTGCAACTTCTAAAAGGAAAATCCTCACACAATATGTTAAATGGCAGAGGAAAGAGAAGAAATAAATAAAAGGAATGACCTACTTTTTAACCTATTTAACAATGTGTGTAAATATTTTCATCTACATGCCCTGAAGTTCCAAAGGTATTACCTTGGACATTCTTAAAGAGCTGTGAAACGACTTCTTACTTGCCAACTACAATTCAACTTTGAATAATCAATGACCACAGCCACTCTAGAAGAGATGCAAGTTGACAGCTGCAAATACATGTTAAAGGGCTGTTTATAACTGAATGATTAAGAGCAGACATTGGCAGGGGTCAGGGTTGGCAGCAAAGGTAAGGCCAGAGGCAGTAAGCAGGGCTGGGGCACACAGAAATGGCTCATCTGAAGGAAGGTAACAGCTTCTTGTGGTAGTGCTGGGAGCCTTACACATGAAGCTTTGGGAGCCACTTAAGGGAGTGGGGCTTTCTAGCTTGGAGAAGCCAGAATGAGACTTTAAGTCTGGTCGAATTTGCCAATTTTTGCTAGAATGTGGCCTAGTCCTGTTCTAGGAAGACCCATAGTGTTGTGACTTGATCCTATTACTTACAGGTCAGCAAGTCCTAAATCTGTCTTTCCAGTGCATTGCCAGCTCTTAGCTCCATATCATGGATCCTTCTGGAGCAGAGGTACTGAACAATGCAGCTTGTTTAGATCCTAGAACGGGTGTCCCAGCCCTTCTGAGCTCCTAGTGGTCCTGCAACTCCCTCTTGCTCCTCTACCCCAAGCCAGGATACGCTGTAGCATCTCCCTGTTTGCTGGGGCAGCAAGCCACAAGAATGTACCCCAGGGTAAGAGAAGACACTCCTGGGGAGAGGCTGAGTAATAGAGGTGGGAGGAAATGGCTTTGAAAGGGAGAAAGAGGCCAACAATTGGAAGAGCAGGAATCTCATTCCGTGGACTTCTTGTCCACGCTATCGAAAGTTTGGTCCCATTGTAACAAATCTTCTTTCCACCCCAGGGTAACGCCATTCAGTGTGCCTTCGATACTTGTGTTGGAACTTCTTAGACAATCCATTAAAATCCATCGTACATTAGACTACCAAACCGATGGCTAAAAACCACACGTGAGAGCTGCATTCAAAACAAAAATAAAAATGCAACGTGGCATTAACAAAACCCAAATGGAATTGAGACAATAATACAGATGTGGTCTTTATTTTTCCCACAAAATTTAATGTGGGCCTTGCTTGGAACATATCATAATATGCATTACTTGTTATGAATAAGAAAACCACTTATGACAGAGTACTCGATGGCATCTGCTATTACAAGATACATAAAAGCATTCTTAAATCCTATAAATATCACAATGAACTGTGACTTCTTTCTCCCCTGAAAAGTTCTTTAACATCAGAGCAAGCTAACTTTTGATGTATGTTACTACTGTAAAACTGGATATGACAGGCCAGCACTGAGCTGTGTTCATGAATAAGAATGCACTTAAAGTAATACTAGCAATTTATTCCATTTATTTTTCATAATAATCTATATTATTCTGAAATAGAAATTCTAGGAAACTAATGTGTTCAAAGATGTTAAAAAAAAAAACAAAAAACTGAAAAGGAATGTGTTAACAGAAGCGTTATAAATCTTACATGGAATATCTTGTAGAAACGTGTCTTTTAAAATTGGGTTGTGAAAAACAAGGTGAAATTCACCTTGTACAGTTAATATTTGCATACCACTTACTTCCCTTGCAGACTGTCAGAACAGGGACCCAGCTGAATCATTTGGTACATAATCTTTTTCTTATCTTTTCACGAGACAAAGTTCACAGAAAGTGATAAGGAGATGGAGCAAATCAGGAGGTGAGTTCTGAAATGATGAAAAGAGTACTTTCAAGCAGGAATCTGCTTTGCCTTTTTATTTTTTTGGCTGTCATGTTCTCATCATTTTCACCATCACTGCCTGACTGTTCAAAATATGGTGCTGATGAAAATCCTCCTTTGAAACAGGGTTTCATGCACCTGCAGGAACCGCGGACATGATAATCACTTATGCCAGTGAAGCAGCTTTAAGCCAGCTGAAATCAGCATCTCCTTCAGATGTCCTTGTTCTGTTCCTTTCTCAGGTAAACCTGGAAGAGAATAGCCCACATCTGGGGAACCTTCCCTGCCACTTCATTTTCCTAAGCAAAGCCTGTAAGTTTATGGTGTCTCTAGATAAGTTTTTTGTGTGTGTGTTACCTAGTATACTTTAAGTGATTATGAAGCTATCTCTGCAACGTTCAGGCTGCTCACTGTACTGGCAACCAAGCTAATTTAGTTTGAGGGTGCAATGTTCCTTTTTCCTTGTAACTGGCATTACCTATCTCTTAGATGCACATTGAGAGTTCCTCCCACTAAACATCTGATTGTCATAAAAGGGGAAAATAGCGTTTTCTTCTTGGCTTAGAAGTTATTATTTGAGTCTTTGAGTTAGGGCGTCTATCAGGAGGACAAAGGGATAATACTGGCTCTGTCCCTTCCTCTATAGTCCTTGTAAATAAACAGACAGTAAGCAATTTCTTTTGCCCAAATCCCATGCTTGGCCCTTAGGTCCATTCAATGCCCCAGAGGGCTCTTTCTCTTTTCTTTCTTGTTCCTTCTCAAACAGTGTAATACCCAGTCAGCCCCAGGATTTGTAGCTAGTTGTAAAAGGGCAAAGGTTTTACATGACTCTAGGCAACAGGAACACAAAAACAAAATTTCCGTCCCTTTGCTCTAGGCAACTGCTAGACAGAGGTTTTTTTTTTTTTTTTTTTTTTTTTTTTTTTTTTGTTCTGTTTTGTTTTGGCTTTTTTGTTTTGTTTTGTTTTGACTCCTGGAGGCAGTGCCTTTGCTCTTAATTCATTCACATCAACCTGGGAAAATCACACGGACTGCCAAGACTACTTCTTGCTCAGGCCTTCCTATTCAACCCATTGCCTTGCACAGTTGCTTCGGTGTTTCCAGAGCTATCAGTGTACAAAGACACACATCCCAGGGCACCCTCCACTTAGCCTGAGAGAAGAGTCAGTAGGGCAGCAGGCTGTATAGATCAAGTATATGACCGTCAACAGATTAAAACCTTTTGATGTTGATGATGAACAATTTTCAGCATGGTGAAATGTTGACTCTCTTTTATTGCTGTACAAATTCTCATTATTTTCTCACCAGACAGAAGCTTGTGAGCATGTTTGTATAAGCAAGCAACAGGAATTCTAAAACGGTACCTGGGCTCGTTCATTGGAGAGCAATGAAAAGCAAACACGTCTGAATCCTATCTGTTGATATTAAAAAAATAATTGTTTCTTATTGCTGAGTCTATCCTTCTATCTCCACAGATGTCATAAAAAAAAAAAAAAGAGAGAAAGAGGGAAGGAAATAAAGAAGGAAAGAAGGAAAGAAGGAAAGAAGGAAAGAAGGAAAGAAGGAAAGAAGGGATGGTGAACATTTGAAGTATCCTGGGGTTTGTTTTGTTGTTTGAAGAATTAATCTGTGACTCCCAGCCCAGGGGGAGTGCTCCCCAGGCAAAGAATCACAGCAGATCAAGATCAGGTATATGCGGCCCATGCCATTTGTTTCTTTGCATGTGCTCTGGGAGTCAGAGTTCAGAAATAGTGAAGTGTAGGTTGCCCCAATGGGTCTGTGCCCTGCAGAGGTGTTCCTGGAGATGTGAAAATATTTATGGTTAGGGCAGTTAAGCTGGCTCCAGAGCTGTTTTGAACTATTGGAGTAGTGCCAAGGGTCTGGCTCAACTGATAGATTTTGTTTTCGGGTTGCATAAGCATAAGTAACCTGCAAGACTTGAATATTTTTTAGTACAATGGTTAAGTTCAGATAGGGTTACTTAAAGAGCAACTATAATAGGACTCCTGTAAGCATTTTTCACTTTACCCTAATTGCCCTCCCTAGAAGTTGCATCCTTGCATGTAGGCCTTTGGGCTCTGACCTTACAGCTGCTCAAGTGTTTTGACATATCAAACACTACCAAATGTTTTAAAGTCCTGCTAAGGGTGTGTATGTGTATTCACCTTCTCTTTTAGAAAAGCTGTAATCATATTCTTCCCTGATGTGAAGCTGCCAATCTTAGCCTGTATTATTTTTTGTTAGGACAGAATCATCAGGTTTTATAATGAACTAAAAAGTAATTTTAATATGATTGAACTTATGGGTGTAACATTTTCCCCTTCTGAATACTTTGTCTTCTTATTGTTCACCATACCTCTGCATTTTTTAAAAGTTCAAGCACACTAACAAGCTTTTCTTCTCACAGACTTTTTGCATAGGCTCTGGAATATGCTTTTATGAGGGGAAAGTATGTATGTCTTGATATACATGGCTGTTGACTTTCACCATCTGAAATGAATAAATTAAATTTGAATGTAAAGAAAATAGCGTGTTAAGTCAGGTGATAAGGCTGGATTTTTAGCTTGACTGCTACTACAAGAGGAAAGCATATTATGTCACATATTTCAGATACTTCAAGGCAAATCTCCCGGCGGTGGAACAAGCATATACTTACTTATAGCAGTCATCTGATACAGAATTAGGCTGAGTTCCTACATTGCCAAACTGGCACTCCAGACAAAAGGAACTTAATTCCAAATAATGCTAAAACTAGTCTACGCACAAACCTTGAGCTGGCTCATCTAGATCACTTTTTACACCTACTTAACTAAACACACTTAAAACCCCGTGTTAATGTGCTAATATGATGTTTACACCCTGTTTCTCAGTATGTCCACATGACGGTTCACACCACAGCAACTAAACTGATGCCAAAATAACTGTAGTTAAACTAGTTCATGGCCTTGTCTACGTGCATGGCTCACCATGTATCTCAGATTAGGGTTTAGGAGAAGACTGTGTTTAGAAAAAAAGAGAAATGTTCCCTCCTGTGTTTCCAAATGATGGGAAACAATTTACAGGAGCCTTTATTACAACACAAATACTTATGAAGTGAGAGTTCAAAAAATTGAAGGGACGGGTTGAATTTTACAAAGGCCTGCCTCGTACGCCAGGTCCGTACGCCACAGCAGTACGAAAGCCTCGATGTTAATTCCGGCTGAACCGAAGGCAGAAGCTCCCAGCTCGGGGCAGCACCGTGCTGCCCAGCCCCTCGGCGGGGCTAATGGCCTGCCTCAGGGGCAGAAGGACCCCTTCTCGCCGAGAGGCTTCACACGCACGACGGGGAGCGCGGCGGGGGAGCCCGGCCGGGGCGCCCACAGCCCCCGGCCGCCATTTGGCGCTGGGGTTGGCCCCTGGCCGCTTCCCGCTGTGGCGCAGCCCCGGCGGGCAGGTCCGGGCGGGCATTTCTCCGAAGCGCTTCCTCCCCGGCCTGCGCGGGTTAAGCTTTAACCGGCCGCCTTATCTCCAACAAGCCGCGCAGACACGCTGCCAGCCGGCCGCCGGCGGAGGGGCTGAATCCTGCACGGGTCGCTGCGGGTTTCTCTCCACCCACCGCCCCAGCCACCCGCACGGGAGGACGGCGGTGCCGGCAGGGGGGCACGGGGGGCGGCCCGCTGAAGGCACCGCGCCGCCATCCCCGCCCGGCACCGCCGCCGCCGCCAGGGGGAGCCCCGGCCGGGCCGCCCGGAGCCCCGTGCCGAGCCGAGCCGAGCCGTGCTGCGGGCCCCGGCCCCGCTCCCAGGCGCTGCCCGGCCCTAGGGCCGCCCGCCCCGGCATCGGTGAGGCGGGAGGGAGCCTGGCATAGGGCGCTGGGCCGGCGTGCCTCAGGGGCTGGCGGCTTGAGGGTCCCGTCCGTCCCGGGCACCCGTGTCCCTGTCCCCGGCCGAGGCAGGGGGAGAAAATGTCCGTCCGTGCCTGGCCGAGGTGGGGGAGCCGCCCGCGCGTAGGCACCGCGGCGGTGCCTCAGTGATGAAAATCCCCGCTGGTTTATAAGTGCCCCCCGAGCTGCTTAATACCCATCGCAGCCGCTGAGGCAAAACGTGCAATTCCTGGAGGTCCCTGCCTCCCAAAGCCCACATTAGCACCACTGACACCCGCAGAGCTCATCCACGCCCGGCTCGGTGTCGTCTGCCCAGCGCCGAGAGGCAGCCGGGCTGCGGCCAGGAGTGCTCGGGAGCTGCTCGCTCCTTTGTGTTGCTGGCCGGGCTTCGCTAGCTGGAAGAGCACTACTTCTGCTCGCTTTCGAAAAGTAGTTAAAAAAAAAGTTAAAGCTTTTCATAGCAACATTTTTATGTGAACATTAAAAGGGTTTCATATTTGTTGGCTTCAGAAATCGGTTTTAATCACAGGCGGTTGTGGAACTCATTGAGAATTTCGCCATTTACACAAAACTGAGCTTTGTTTCCTGGCATACCTTTTCCAATCCTCCTGATTTTTACGACAAATTGTCCTCCTGCCAGAAGATTCTTTAATACTGTGTGAATGAAGTATTATTTGTGGAAAAAAAAAAAAAAAGTGTTTTATTTCAACTTATGTCAGCTGTTAAGCATTTTTATCCAAGCATATGTACATGCAATATGCACAAGTACTAGATAATGCTGAGGTTGTAACTCCTTTTGCTGCTAAATTCTCAGTTGCACAACAGGCAAGAAATTGAGAATTGAGGTCATGCATATGCCTTGCATGGTTAAAAACCCATATAGGAAGCAGGAAATTCTCTCACTAAACTTTAGCTTTGTCACAGATGCACAACACACCCACTCACACCAAAAATCAAGGTAGTTGAGGGCAGTAATGAGAAGGGATAGGCATTTATACACTGATCGGATTGGTAGAAACGTCTTTGGCATAATCTGATATTTTGAATTTTCATGAGGTCTGGCATCTAAACTACTACCCGCCTGTTCCAGTGCTCTAGCCATCAAAATTCACAGTATGAGAAAAGCTTTCTCCTTCATACTGGCTTTAGTGGGGGCACTTGCCTAGATAAGAAAGAAGCACCTTGCAACACTTTCTCCTTTTTCTCATTATTAATTGTGTTTCGATCAGATAAGTAAGTGGTGCTACCTCTAACTGAAAGTTTTTTTAAGGTGGGGGGGAGAGAGGAGTCTAACCAGTTGCATCCATTAGGGACTAGGCAGAGCTGTAGGTGACCTATTGGTTCTCCTTAAAGGAGGCTTGTAGTTAAAAGTCACTTTCTGTTTCCTGGGGGATATGGGGATTGTTGGTACGCCTGTTTAAACTTTAATGTCCTTGTCTGTAAAGCTTTA